ATAAGTGTAGGAAAGGATTTTCTAAATTGGACAGAAGTTGCTCAGGAATTAAGGTCAGCAATCAATAAGTGGGACCTCATTAAACTAAAGAGCTTTTGTACAGCAAAAGAAACAAAAAAAGTGAAAAGAAAACCCACAGAATGGGAAAACATCTTCACCAGTGACACATCTGACAGAGGTTAACATCCAGAATATATAAAGAACTCAAAAAACGAATCAAGAAACCAAATAGCCCAGTTAAAACATGGACTACAGATCTAAACAGAGTTCTCCAAAAGAAAAAATAAAGATGGCTAAGAAATATCTCAAAAAGTGTTCAACATTGTTAGTAGTTAGGGAATACAAATTAAAACCACCCTAAGGTATCACCTTACCCCAATCAGACTGGCTAGGATCAAGAAAACAAATGATACCAAATGCTGGTGAGGATGTGGAGAAAGGGGAGTGTCATTCACTGCTGGTGGGATTGCAAACTCATGCAACCTCTATGGAAAACTGGAGAACTCTTAAAAAACTAAAAATGAGCCTACCACTTGACCCGGTTATCCCACTCCTTGTCTTGTACCCAAAGGACTCATCCTATTGTAGAGACACTTGTACAACCACATTTGTTGGTGCTCTTTTCACAATAGCTAAGAGATGGAAGCAGCCTAAGTGTCCCTCAGCTGGCAAGTGGTTGACAAAAATGTGGTATATTTACACAATGGAGTTCTATTTAGCAGTAAAGAAAGATGAAATTATGAAATTTGCAGGTAAATGGATGAATCTAGAAACTGTTATACTAAGTGAAGTAACACAGACTCAAAAATAAACGACGTACGTTCTCCCTCATATGTGGCTCCTAGCACCAAATCCTTTTAAATTCCAGGTCCTTTTAATAAGATTATGATATACAGCAGTCCCTTCTGTATGAAATAACTACCATCATCATCACTTCACTGAGCCTGATCGCTAAACATTGCCACAATTGGGCTTGTTGACAGTTTGTGCACATTCATTAAAGGAGTGCCAAGCAGGGTCACTGGACCCTCACCCGAATATCCAGCCACTCTTTCCAGCTACTCTTCCCAGCCAACTAGTCCAGCCTTGGAAGACAAAAGAAAAATGAGGAGGAACCCAATAGAGGGATGCTTTTGGAAGCCCTTGTCAAGAAATTCCAGTGGACTCTCATATGAACATTTGAAAATTGCCCTCTTCTGACTTTTTTCTGGTTCTCTGTCTAGAACTTGTAATGCTAATTACTCTTGCCTTTACTTCTCCTTCACATCTCCCATTCATGATTCAAGGACTTTCTTCTCCCCTTAGAGATGAAAGTTATGCAATTTGGGAGTCTTTTAAATAGACCCACTGAAGGGGTACTCCAATTGCCTCACCCTGTTGTCCCTGTTCAGCATGGAAGAAGCCACAGTGGTTGGCATCTCTATTTCCTATTGGCAATTTGGGTAACCCCTTCAGAGGATGGCGTGATAAGAATAGGAGGTAGGAATTAGCTAGGCAGTTAGGGTAAAAAGACACCAAAAGAAATGTAGTCAGTTTCTTGGCTATAAGTCAAAAGTCAAAATGTCCTTGGGCCTGTTAGCAACATACTCTGTTCCAAGGCCAGAACTGTCAAAAGTATTTGGGAGCTTGTATCTAATCCTTAAAAGATTTTAGGGTTACCTCTTCAGAGGGGGGAATGTTGGAGGGGAGGGAGTGGGCATGGATTTGATCAAAACACCTTATATGCATGTATGAAATTCTCAGTAAAGTTTGTGTAAAACTTAATAAAAAAGAAAATAGTGTCCTCTACCTCACTACCTTGCCACGTGGATATAAATTTGCTGATTTCTGGGGGCGCCACCGTGACTTGTAAAACTGATCCATGTAGGCGCTCACCCCTTGCCATGCTCAGCAGAGCTAGCATTGACTGCCCTAGGAGTCTCTGTAAGTACATATGTAACATGTGACAACCCTTGTTTCAGATCCCATGTTAGACCTGGATATTCAGGAATTAGCCAGTCTTACTACCGCAGGAGGCGATCTGGAGAATTTCGAGAGACTCTTTTCCAAGTTAAAGGAAATGAAAGGTAATTAGCCCTGCCATGTCTCATGGTCTTCTGTTTTATGTTGTAGGATTTCATTTTGTAACTGCTAGATTGGATTCGGAGCTCTGGTCTGGAGAAATTTAGCTACTTGTGTGAGTGTGCCACTCTGTTGGTAAAAATTCCCAGGGGAAAAATTCCTTTCTTTATCCTCTTTTCTCGCACTTTCCCTTAATCATGTCTCTTCCAGTGTGTCTCACTAATACCACATCTGTAAGATTCCCTGCCAGTTCACTCCCATCATTCCATCTGGAAAATTTGGGAGACTCAGGTTCCTAATAGCTGTAATGACTACACCATGAACATGTGTCTTGAAACCCATCTAGCATCTTTGACTGTCAGAACACTCCAGATTCTCCTGTGCTATTTAGAAAAATTTCTTAAGATATATTTTTCCCCCTAGACAAGGCTGCGACACTTCCTCATGAGCAAAGAAAGTTGCATGCAGAAAAGGTGAGATGGCTGGTCAGGTATTTATCATTCTAAAGGGTCTTTGTGTGTGTTTTTCAGTGGCTGTTAACTTATACCCAGTTGAATGTTTAAACAATATAAGACAATTACTACAGTCAAACTAAGATAATTTAAGTGTCTCTTAAGTGACACAGAACCTTCCCTGAGACTCAATGTTTGCCTTCCTCTTAGGCCAAAAAACTCTTAGTAGTTTTGTTTTATTGTTACCAACCCAACACATGTTCTTGGCAGGAAACTAAAATGGTTAATGACATCTCATTATGTGAACTCTGTCATTTATTTATCTAGCCCTTCTGGACATCGAGAGCAACAGTGTATGCATGTTTTTATTCTATAAATCATGAAGCTGTGTGTCCTTACACCTCATATTTGTGCATAGCTCTGATCATAAGCTGAGCACATATCTCTGGATGCATAGTCTGGGTCACAAGGTATTCGGAAATTTTGATGTATGCTGCCAGAGGACTGGAGGGCAACATGCAGAATTTAAGGCTTCAGTCAGTTTAACGTGTGACACACAAAACAAGCTAAAATTTAGCTGTCATCTGAAACTTGTCATGTGCTTCTCCACAGGTTGCCAAAGCCTTCTGGATGGCAATTGGGGGAGATAGAGATGAAATTGAAGGTCTTTCCTCTGATGAAGAACACTAAGTTATTCCTGCTGAGTTTGACTAATGATGCCAGTGCTGTTTACCTCAGATAATTCCCTCCTCAACCCAGTCCTGCTCTGTCAAGATTCCCCTCACTGCATTGGCCATCTGACTGGTGTTTAGGGTCCCTTTAATCTTAACTTATAGGAAGGAGTTAAGGAGTCTTTCCTCCTGCAGCATAAGTCAGTGAGGAGTACCATGATGGCAGTAAGGATTCCTCAAACATATGTTTCTGTTTTAAGAATGGGGTAGAATTAGTCTTAGAGGTCTGTGTTAAAGGAGAGCCAAGTATAGTGGTGCATTCCTGCAATCTCAACATCTGGCAGGCTGAGGCTAGCCTAGGCTCCATGGGGGTACCCTGAACTGAACCACACAGCATGACTTGAGCAGCTTCTTTGGGTATTCCCAGCATTCACTGGTACTTGTCGCATGTCAGGAGCTTGAGCCATTGGGTATTGTCAATGTTTCCCACCAAGAGCTGGCAGCTCTGCAGTGAGGGATTTTGGGGCAGGGGTTGGAAATGTATCAGTAAGTAATTTTTGCTGTAGTATAGGAGTGGGCAAAATAGGTGGCTTGCAGATTTTGTCTCTAAGCAAGTTCTGGATATTTTCAGTTCAGTGTCTGAATTCTTTCTACAAATAATTAAAAGACTAGAGTGTATTTTTTAGATTTTAAGAAATAAAGCAAAAGTTTCTGCCTCTAGGGAGGATAAAGCTACCTCTCTATACAGTTGCTGGGCAAGGCTTGTGAACAAGAACCTTAATCCACCTGTGTGGACTATGGGAGCTGTAGGTGCTTGTTCCTGGCCACTCCACGCTGCCATGATGATGTGGATACTCTTCTGCCCAAGCACTCTTCCTTCGCTACTTGAGAGACCAGAGCCATGCTGTCGCACTTTGAACCCCGAAAACATGGCAGGTGTCCCCTTCTTTCTGTTGGGAAGCCAAACAGATCACTGCCAAAGCAGCAGCAATGAGTGGTAGGTGAGGAGTTGAGATACTAGGCAAAAGAGGTCCCAAGCCACCCCTGCGATTTACTCCAGGGCTGCTGGCTCCTCTGCACCTCTCCAGGGCTCAGCCTCAGGCTCAGTTCTGAGGGAACATCCTTCGCTCTTTCTCCTGTGTCCTGTCCAATGCACAGGACACAGATGTACTCATCACCCAAAGGAAAGTTTTAAATGAAGAGAGTTAAGTACAGCAAATTAAAGTCCTTATTTCTGACTTCATAGACACTCCAGTGAGTTATGAGTCTTCTCTTCAGTGGTCACGGCCATGACTCTGAGCTGGAGTAGCCCATGGGAGATGATACCCACACATGGGCTGAGAACTGGCTCTGGCCTAGTGTTGGAGAAGCATGGGGGTGGGGAGCCAAGCCAGGAGCAGAAATAAGGCTCACACCTGCCCAGGGCATTATTGTAGGACCTGAGATGTACCAGGGATTCCTTGCCAGGCCAGCACCAGCACCACCACAGGAAGCAGATGGCATTTCAGTGATGGGAGCAGTAGCTGCTGCCTTGCTGACGCCCTGGTTAAATACCCCCCCCCAACACGCACACACTGTTCTTGTAGTACCATCCCATCAGTGGGACTGGTGTTTCTTTGAGCTGATGTTTCCAAGTGACTGTATCAGCCATTGATTAAGAATGTAAGGGAAACTAAGGGAAGTTGGCTCTGGGCTGCCAGGAAGATAGAACATGTTTTTCTTAAAACAGAAAATTCTGGAAAACATATTAGGCTACATGATTAGGAAAAAAATAGAGTAGGAAAAGCTGTGAACTTGATTTTGTTGATTAAACAAAGCCAGGTAATTAAAATATGACTTATTTATAAAGTCTGCTAATGTGTATTATTCTAGTTTTGCTGTGGGGGGCTATGTGACTAGGGGAAGCCTGGTGTCCTCCTTTGGCCTGTATGTGAAGAATCTTCAGAGTTTGTCAGGGTTAATGTTTTGTTGGAGTCTGCCTATAACCTCAGCTACTGGGAGATTGGTTTTTCTTAGGGACACTGAGGGTCAGGGTAAACCTAGTGTTATCAACTACTGACCTGAAAGAGTGATTCTGAGCTAATGCTACATTAACAGGCACATCTTTTAAAGTCGCCTGTGCATATGACCCCACAAGTTACAGACCAGTCACCCATGTGCATGGCCCCCACAACTTACAGACCCAGCATGAATCTGAGGTAATTTCTGTCTTAAATACCTATTTTTGTAGCACAGTGTTTGGCCCACCATTTGGGTTGGCAGGTATAGTCTGTGTTTGATGAAAATGATTGCAAAGTCTGAAGGCCCGTTGAGTGTTGGAAACTAGAGCAAGAGAGACTAAAGTCAAAGTTTTCTTCCTTGAGAAAATTGTGTGTTGTGTAATAATTTGTGATGAAGGCATGGATATTTTTGTAATTTTAAATAGCTGTCCTGTCAGCATATGGCAAGATTGACAGAACCAGCTTGCTTGCTATTTATAGAACTTGGCCACACCTGATTCAGAGAAGCTAGAGATTTGGGGAAGCTGGGGTTAGATGGCTGATAATGTGGGATGTGGCTCAAACACCATAGCGTGTACATCAGGCCTTTCCTTCGGACTTTAGAACAGGTGAGAACTGGCTGTGTGTGGCCAATGCTGTCTCCTTTGTGGAGAGCTGGGGCTCAACATCTTTGCCATGGCTTGTCACAGTCCTCAGGCCAGTCTCTTAGTGACCACAGCACACGAGTAGCACCCCTTGGCCTGCCGTGGCAAATAGGAGAATCATTGCTGGGGAAAAGGAAGGGGAAGGGGAGAGCTCTGGGGACTATTTTCAGCATGGCTGTTTGCTGCTACAAAGCCTAATTTAGCAAACATGTCCCGAATGGTCAGGGGTTCTGGTCCATTGAGCTTCTGCTTGAAGGAGACAGGGTTTCAGCGAGTGTTCTCCTGATTCAATTTGGCTTCACCACCTCCCCCATCTACAGTGGACAATTCAGCTACAGGATTATATCATTATCAGATAAATAGCACAGGACTATAGGGAAAGAAAATGCAGACCAGTCTTGTTGCATGTCCTGAACCTGGACAGCTTTAGGAGAGCCTTGGTTTGAGAGCCAGCAACACCCTAATACTTAACTAATTACCCCATAATTTGAATGTCTCATTAAAAATGCTCAATGTGCGAAGAGAAGTCAAGTTTTGATTTCCAAGTCCTAGGGTTTGGTGAAGTAAAGCACCCTGTACCTTTGGCAGCCCTTGTGGAAAGGCCTTTGCAAGTCTGAGTTTCGTGTTTGGGTGTAACTAGATGTTTGCTGCTGACATCACAGTTTACTTGGAGTTAAGCAGTTCTAGTATCAGAGGAGCATCTTGCTTGATCCCAATTGTTCCTCTGACTTACGGAATAAAGGGTTAGTAAAAGAACCCATGGCAACAGTGTGTGCCTTTCCTCAGAATGCTATTGAGCCTCGTCCCAGCTCTCTAGTGATTGACAGGTCTGCTTTTTGTTCTTTTTGGTAAAGTATGGATTCAGAACCTGGCCTTAAATTATTATATGTTTGGAATATAGGGTGAGGCAGGGATAGAATTCTTAAAACCTTTGTGTTTACATTTATTTTATGTATTGTGGGTGCATGGGCCACCCAGGGTGTGTGGTGATTAGGACAACTGTAGGAGTTGGTTCTCTCCTTCCACAGTGAGTTCTGAGGGCTGAACTCGGGTCATCAGGCTTGGCAGCAAAAATCTTTACCTGCTGAGCCATCTCACCAAACTTCATTTTGTTTTTGAGACAGGGTCTTGTAATGTAGCCCAGGCTAGCCTCTCGCTCTCAATCCCCCTGCCTTGCCTCAGTCACCTGAGTGCTGGGATGGCAGGTATATAGCATATACTCTCTCCCTTGCCACAAGAACCTGAGCGACAGAGCAGGTCATGTGAAAACACTCCCACTTAGCTTGCTCAGAGTCCTTCCTGCTGCTCTGATGGAATAAGTGGCCATTCGTTGCCTCTGCGCATCTGTTGTGAACCAGATGGTTTTAATGCAACAAAGACAGGCTAGTTAAAGCCCAGGATCTGTGCTTATATCAACAGCAATGCTGTTTGGAAGAGAAAGTTCTTTTTGTCTGAAGTCCAAGGACATGAACGGTATTGCCTCCTTAGGACATTCCCAGGGATTCAGTAGCAAGGTGATGGGCTTGGACTTATCCTGCCCTGGTGTGAGGGCTGAAACAGGGCTTGGAATGCAGCCAGCGCTGCCTGTGAACCTTATTGATGCCAGAATGAGAGTGAGCATAGTGAGGGTTCAATCTTGAGGATGAAGTTTCTCTTCTCCAGGAGCTCAGGCTTCACTTTAGGTGGGAGTAAGAGACAAGCCAGGGTCACAGATGACAGAATACCAGGCAGAACGGGAAAGGTGCTGCAGCCTTCCTGCATTAGTTTCCAAATGTGACCCTGACTCAGAAGCACCTGGAAGGCCCTCCTCAGAGTTTCTGATGAAGTTGGTCTGTGCTGGGGTCTAAGAAGCCACAGTTCCAACATTGCAAGTGATACTGACACTGCTGGAACAGGCTTTGAGAACCACTGACCTCAGGGAAGTAATGCCAGAATCCAGCTGAAAGGCTAAAGAATTTGGGCAGGTAAGTAAGTGGAGACATGAAAAGTCTTACTGGTAAGTTCTGGCATGAAGAGAGGTATGGAAATAAGAGAGCAAATGGTTATGTTGGGGAATCCCAGGTGCTCCCCTTAGAAAAATGGTGGTAGCTAATGTTAAAGTGATGTCAGAGAAGACCCTGAAATATTACAAGAGGTCTGCTGCCTCCAGGGCGGTCTGAGAAGCTGAAGGGTTGCAAGCAGACAGGATCTCTACCCACAGTTACAATCTAGGAAAATTCACAGCCTCTTGTCAGTGTTCATCTCATCTCTTAGCTGAGTTGAGAATTCTGAGGCTGAGAGTGGACCCAGCAGGGTGACTAGTGGTTGTTGCCATGGACAGAGGTATAGGGAGTGGTAGGAATTGTGCCACATGTTTATCCCTGAACTAGAAGGTGACAAATTAGAATTTTGGAACAGCTGTAATAGTAATCAGGGACTGTATCTTGGGGACATTCCTGTAGTTATATAAAAAGATTTAAAATAGAAGAGCACAGCAGAAACAGATATGAAAGATACTGCTCAGGTAACGTCCACCTGATAGACTCGTCCAGACACTGGCAGGCTCGTCTGTAAAGCAAATTGTGTGGCAGCCATAAGAAGCCAGGATGTAAGAATAACATGTAAACTGTGTTCTGGGGGACTTGTGGCTTAGAAGGGATGGCAGACAGTACATAGTGGAGGGGACTCTGATGACAAACTACTGAAAGGTTTCCTTGAGGAGAGGGTTGAACTGAGCTGCAAACATTGGTAAAGGTTATCTTGTTGACCTGGGGGTGTGGGGTGTCAGGGCAGAAGCCAGGGTTAGAGCCTGGGATGAGTGAGGAGCAGAGGGAAGCACACAGGCAATCATGGAGACAGGATGACACATGACCACTGCCATTGCTGGATTGTATAGGATAGGGCAAGGAGTTGGGAGGGCTGGGCAGGGGCAGGATGGACAAGTGTTCCATGGAATGACCTTAGAATTGGTTCTGTGTGCTAGGGGTGGGGGCATTTACTGAGAGCAGTGCTGTAGTTTAGATATGAAATCCCCTCACAAAGATTGGTTCCCATCTCATGGCACTTTTGGGAACTGGTAGGACATTTAAGAGGTGAGGCCTGATAGAAAGGTCACTGGAGACATTCCCTTTCTTTCCTCTTTGCCTTCTAGCTGCCATGAGGTAAAGAGCCCCTCTTCCCACAGACTCCAGCTCTAAGGCGTTGTGCCACAGCAGGGCCAAATGACCATGGACTGATAGCTCTGAAACCATGAGTCAAAATAAACCTTTTTGTTTATCAAGTTATCTTGGATATTCTGTTAGAGTACCAGGACTAACATAGGCAATGAGCATTTTAAAGAAAGCAGACTAGGAGAGCAGTTAGGATGCTGGGGTGGGTCCAAGTGCTGGGAACCTGCAGTGGAGGGCAGCTCCTGAGAGACTGGGAGCCATGAGCAACTGGAGGTGAGGGTGCATGGATAAGGATGACTTCTGCCAATATAGTTTAGGTGTTAATGCCAAAATTGTGACTGTCAGGGAGATGGTCTGCCAAAAGGAATAATGAATTCTGTCTTCTGAGTTCCTTGTAGCACTTTTGAGGACCAGATGGCCAGCAGGCCTTTGGCCCTGAGTCTGATGCTCAGAATTGATGTCTCAGTTGTATCAATCTGGGTGTCATTAGCATTTATGTGGCTTGAAACACTGAGGGCTGATGAACATATTCATGGAGGTGTGTCAAGAGCACACACATGATCTGGGAACACCAGACCACAAAGGAGGCAAGCCCAGATTTGTAAGTGAGCCAAGGAGAAATGGGACAGCTCTGGGCAGGGCCTTTCTGAAGTGGGGAGGTTTGCTCAGCCCAGGCAGCCTCAGCAAGGAGGTGAGGGAGCTGCTGGGGTAGGGAGATAGGAAGTGGCCAGCTGAGGGATGGGCCACCTCACACAGGTTGTTGGAATTTAAGTTTTAGCTCAAAAAACAGATTGAGGGCAACAGGTCCCATCTGAGCATCAACTACTGAGAGACTTTACAGAAAGCCATTTTGAGGGGCACAAAGGTGGACGAACTGACCAAGGAATAATCCTAAAGTGGGAACCTGAGGGGGTGCGTGGAGGTCCTTGAACTGACCTTTGTCCTGGGAGGTCCTTAGGACAGCTGCAGGGGAGACCTCGCTGAAGGACAGGGAGACTGTCTCCACATGGGTTTGCTGCTTCATACCCAAGAACCAAGGGTCACTCAGTCTTTTGGTCAGTCCACAGCTTTGGGGTTGGTGTAAAATTTCAGTCAGGAAAACAGTGCTGTTTGAAATAATGATTTCCCAGGAGCCAACAGTCAATCCGAGCCAAAAAGTTACTTGTAAAACCACCACTGGGCCTGTAGGAAGATGTGATAGCATGGAGAGCCCTGGCAGAAGGAAGCAGTGTCAGGGCTGGCAGCCTTCAGTAACTGACAGAGGCTTTGGGGTGCAGGGGAAATGAATACCAACAGCTTTGCAGTGTGTGTCTGAGGGACCCAGGACCTCCTGCTGGCCCTGCGTGGTGCCCTTAGGGCAGGTGGGTATTAGTGGATGTGCTGGATAGCTTCAGTTGTCAGCTTGACAAACGTGGGTGGAGGAACCTCAACTGAGGCATTTCCTGCATTGGATTGAACTTTAGCCATGACTATGGGCATTTTCTTGATTGATGAGTGATGTTGGAGGTACTGCCCCTGGACAGGTGGTCCTGGTTTGTGTAAGCAAGCAGGCTGAGCATAGGTCAGGGTGGCAAGCTACTAAGCAGTGTACCTCCATGGTTGGTCTGTGCTCCAGTTTCCTTTTCTTAGTTCCTGCCTTGGCTTCCCTTGGATTGGCTGTAAGCCACATAAACCCTTGGCTCCCCAAGTTGGTTTTGGTCAGGGTTTTTATCACAGTTGATAGAAGGTGACTAGGACATTGGAGGACCTCAGCAGAGTGGCCAGGGGCTTGCTGATCTCTGAGGCCCCCCCTGGGGATCCCTTTTAAATCTTCTCACCCACAGGCAGCATCAGCAATCAGACTGCACTCCTGATCCAAGAGCTTTTCCGTGAAAAGTTTATTAGAAGGGTACTTATAAGAGGAAGAGAAGGGAAGAGGGGACATGGCTCTTTAACAATGGGGGTACACTGCTTAAACAAACAGGTGCTCTGCTTTAAGATATAAAAGTTAGAAAAATCTAAAACACTATAAATACATGCTTTTTACAAAGATAGTAAAGGTTTGGCTGGCGAGGAGTGATGCCCCCAAGCATCCCCAAACAAGAGTCCACAACAGCACACTTGCCCCAGCAGCCACAAAGCCTTCTGTGAAGTTTTCCCCCCTGGGAGGGAGGGACCTTGGTGTTGAGCACACCACAGTGAAGGGCTTGGGCTTGACTCAGAGTGGCTTGTTTGCACACGCTGCCACTTGTTGACCTGATCTGGTATTCCTGGATGCTGAGCCAATAAAGTCACTGCACCCTCCACCAGTGTTCAGAAGTGGCTGTGCCCTGGCCCTTCCAAGTCACCATCCTTGGAGGAGAGAGCTTTCCAACTATCTTTAAGAAATTAAATAGTTGTCCATCTGAATGATTTTAAGAAATTATTACATAAATATGGAAACAGCAGAATGTTAGAGTATACATTACATCTGCATCAGCGAGATCAATTACAGGATCATTAAATGTCTCCATCCAGTTTACAGGAGCTGAGCTGGTTTTCTGTGACAGCTGTTTGTAAAGAAGTGCCCACGAGTCACGCATTCCCCTTTAATACCTCCCTTCAGGGATACTGCATCTTCACTGTTGACCCATGGCATCCTGTGCGTGGATTTCTGCTTTCTACTCACCTAGGAGGTGGCCCATGCCTTGAGGGCTCTGTACATTGTGAAGACCTTTACTTGTGAAGACCTTTACTTGAAGGGATTCAGTGATAGAACACTGATGCCACACAAAAGAAAAATGGCACAAGTGGGCTATGTTCAGATTTCCTTCTAATAAAAAGGAGACACATCTAGCCACTTAAACCACACAGTAAGAAATGGGTACAGAGCTATACCTGTGCTCTCTGCTGCTGGAAGCTAGCTGCACATCTCTTTCTAGCCTTCTGAGGACTAAAACCCAGAAATGACAACTTGGGTTTGAATGAAATCAGTTATTGCCTCACCCAAACAGCTCAGGTACATGCATGGCTGCATATGCTACTTAAAAGAAAACCTTCTTTCTGTGGTTTGAGGAAAAATCATTTAGCCCTGGAACACATCCCAACCCTTGGAAGCCAAGGGGAGAGGGAGCAAAACCACCACAGCAAAGGATCAGTGCTGTGGTTCATTTTAATACATTAACAATGACGTAAAAAAAAAAAATCAGCGGCAATAAAAAAGACACCATTGGGAAAGTAGTAGAGCCTGCCAGCAGCCTTGCCTGCACGAGTGTTCTTCCTAGGAGAGCCCCTGCTCGCAATGCTAGGCTTGTCTCAGAATGTCAGGTCTTCTACAGGCTGCTTGGGAGGTGGCGAGCCGAGATGACAAGCCTGCACAGGTCTGTAATCCACACCCACTGGTGCAGCTACCTGCATACTCACTAGAAGGATCTAAGTCACTAAACTAAGAGAGCAGCAGAGGAAAGGGACAAAAAAATTGGCTCCTCTGGGAGCATGTGGGTCAGCACAAGCCACAAGGTGACATCAGGACAGGAGCTTGGGCTTCCAACAGCACACATAGGTTACCCAAGGGAACTACACTTTTCAACTGCCCCCACTAGAGCTGCCCTGCCTTCCTCTTGTCCCTCAACTGTCCCTTAAAAAAGTGTTTAAATCTATAAATGTTGTTCATACAAGATTTAAAACTAAGAAAACTAGTTTTATGGCTTGTGGACACTAATATCTCACATGCCCAGAGTACCTGTGTTATGCTCCACAATAGAGTGGTACCATTTTCTAGACTCCAGGCATGACCAGGCTTATTTTCAGTGATGCCAAAGGTGGACTTGCCTACAGTGTCCTTGTGTGTCATCCTCCAGTGACTGGCCAGGAAAGCAAAAGGGCCAAGGAAGTAGCCTTTAAGAGAGGAAGAAAAAAAAACAACCCCTCCAGCTTTGTGCCTCCCAGAAGTAGCCATCAGAGCTGAGCATTAAAGACTCAGGTACCATCCAGGTGCAGCCAAACGGGCCATGGGATCACCCCAGTTCTGCAGCACCTGAAATGGGGGCCCACAGGAAGCCCTTAGGAAACTTATACACCAAGTGGAGAAGGCAGGCCTGCAGGAACTGAGTCCATGGCTGTTGAGAGAGGACCATGATCACTTCAGCAGAAGACATGGCAGAACATTCCAGTGCCGGGTCAGGACTGACTCAGAATGTGGGGGCCATACGTACAGAAGGTTCAGAGGGCTTCCTGTGTCTGTAAGCAGCAGTCCACAGGCCAGCTGGAGCCAGGCACAACCTTCACACCCGCCGCATCTGCCCTCTGAGGACGCAAAGGGTTCTGAACTGTCTGGGTTCTAGGTCCACAGCCTGTGGGGAGATTGGCACAGGTTTGGTAGGGGCTTACTCCATCTCTTCCTGTGTCTACAGAAGGCTTGGGGAGCAGCTAGTTTGCCAGGATACATCCTGGCTAGAGCTTCGGGGCCACAGGATCCTGCAGGTGAGGAGGCATCAGAAGTGCCCCCAGCATCTTCGTAGAAGCATCAGCAGATTTATCACATTTGAGGTTTTATTACCTGCCAGAAATGAACACTTTCTTCCCTTCTGGAATACGACGGGACTTCCACAGGAAATCCTTTTATTTTTCCTGGTATAAATCCATGCAAAAATGTGGGATAAGTCATTTCATACAATAACAGCAGCAAAGAAGAAAGTACCAGTTGCAGGTGGCATTCCTGTGTGCCGTATTCTACAAAAGGCTGGGGAAAGGACTTTTTCCAGTTGAAATAAGTTATACTAGTTTCCTCTGTAATTGCCACTGGGAACAGTCTTATTACACAGCATCGTTGCTTCAGCCATCAGTGATGCTTCTCCACCAAAGCTGGATAATCTTACATCCCAGGGCGAAGATGTCAGGTCTCCGCACCAAGCCTGCGATTTTCAAAGATGTAAAAAAAAAATTTAATAGCCCTTTTCATTTGCCCATGTTGTCCTGGGACTTTTCCCTTCTGCTGAATTGGCTTCTGAAAAATCTAATTCCCAAACTGCTGCCAGGTGTCTCCTCAGCGTTGGGTTGGTGGCTGGATCCACTCTGGTTTCCCAGTCAAGACACCTACCCAAGATGGCTTTTTAAATAAGACATTTCAAAGAACACATATTAAAGGTGAATTCATTGATGTAACTGGCTCCATAAACCAACATAGCCCTACACATTGGATATGGTGCCAGTTCTCAGAAATGCCGAAAGATGCATTTAGTTGTAGTGCTGCCTCACTCAGACCTCGCACAGCACAACTGCCCTCCCTCAATTCCTGTGAACACTTCAACATCATGGAAATCTGAAATAAATGTGATGGTATAAACTACACATCGTATATGCACTGAGCTTTGGCAGATCCTTCCAAGTGAGAAAGGACAAAGAAGCCATGGATGGCTCTCACCAGCTTCACCCATGGTCTGCCTGCATGTGCCCATCTGGGCATTCTGAGGCGGAGTGCCAGCATAGGACATTTAGCTCACTTGGCAGGAGTGCTGGGACTAGGCGTGCTCAGTGGAAGAAATACTTATCCAAAGTTGCAGAGCTAGAACCCCATTCCAAAGGTGAAAGCTACAGTCCAGTCCCAGAGAGGCACTTTCTGTTGGACTGTGACATCTCAGATCTCTGTCATTAAACAAGGAGGCTGGGAGGAGGAGGAGGCACGTGGCAATACGCCACCTGTTAGCTCAAGCCACCAGAGCAGAAGGCATTCCTTGACCTTCAAACTGGGGGCAAATGTTTCAGCAGACACAGCTATTCATAAAAATCTACCCCTGGAATTTTCTGCTGTGGTTTCAGAAGCGGGGTGGTGACACCTTGATTGAAAGATAGTCGTCTTCCTTGATACAAATGGTCTGGGTGGAGTTCTGGTTTTCTTCATCTCCAAGGCCATTTTCCCCAAGCCCTCCCTCCGCCTTCACCCCCACTGTCTCTAAGACACACTGGAACAGCGGATGCTGGGGGAGCCCATCTGGGTGAGGACCTTATCAAGCCACTGCAAAGGCCCATTCAAGTGCAGCTCAATCCAGCAGGGGGTGCTGGTCACTGTCTGTCTTCTGCAAAAACAAGGAAGAGATGAGGGACGCATATAGAGGTCAGAACACTGCTTTCTCCTTCCCCAAGCCAGAGCTCTCTCTATCCCTTCTTGCTAGATGTGAACTGGAGGCTATACCTATAACCGAACCTAGCCAAACCCCTCCAACCAGGGAGGACTATAAGTCAGATTCTGCTGGGTAGTGGGGGGAGGAAGGCCAACTCCCAGGGACTATGACAATCTTCCATGTGTGACTTCCAGCCTGAGTGAAGGTCTCCCTGGCTCCCAAGTGGGCAACTGGGCAGATGCTTGCAGCCCCTCTCCAGACCTTCGGTTGTGATTACACATCTGTCTGATGGAGGGTGTTTTTACAAAGCACTGACAGCCCACATGCTTCGGTTCCCAATGTGCTGATATAATCCCCATCTACAGCCGTATTTTGGAAAATCTTACAAGCAGAGCTAGCCATGGAACAATTACTGGAAAAAACCAAGGCACACCACACGTTTCTTTTCCTCCAGAGCACTTTGTCTAAATGCAGGCTGCTTGGTGATGCGGCTTGTAGGCGAGCTCCCAAAGGCCTCCACCAAGCAAAGGCTATCTACTGTGGCCACACACGGTGCCAGCTGGAGGTAAGGCCTGGGCCTAGGCCCAGCCCAGGCCCGTTTGCACCCACCTCATGAAGCAACAGCCTGAAACCTTACTCTGCTTGGCCCATAAGGCAGGAGGAGGGCAAGGCTGTTCTGGGAAGGGGCCGCACCCGCTAGGCTGCCATGCCATGCTGCCAGGCGGCAGTGACGCAGTGGGCTGTGCAGGAATGGGTGTGCTGGCAGAGCATCCTGTGGTAATATAGTGCCCCAGAGAGGGGCTTCTGCCAGTGCTCTGAGCTGGAGGGCCCTGATGCCATACAACATCCAGAGCCATTGTCCAGAAAGCCACCTCTGCTTGTCCTATGCTTTGCCTGAATAGTTCAGACTCAGCCCTGGAGTATCTGCCTGAGTTTAAGAAGGCAAATAAGTCTCTCTTCCCATTTTGGGTTTTTGCATTAATGCCATTAGTTTTCTAACCTTTTACTCTTACTCCCTTAGTGATCTAAACCAGGGCTAAAGGTTGGCTCAGATGTTTCTCCAGCCAGACCTTCAGTTCAGGTCATAAGGTAGCTGAATGTTTTCTCCCAGCCTGACCACTTTGCTTACTTGGTACCCTTCCTGGATTTCTGACTAAAAGGACTCAGGTGCTCTCCTTGGCACTGTGGGGCAGATGCAGAACAGCAGCTATGAGCAGTAAATGGAGGAGTTGGATTTTACAGACCGCCATCCTCTGAGGATCTGACTTTCCATAAGTCATGCTCATCGGGATTTCATTACGAGCAGTGGCCCAGAGCCAACACTGAAATGGGTTTGGCTGGGGTGCAGAATGACTGCAAAACAAACTCAATTCCAAACATCTGGAAAAATGAAGGGGGGTGGGTGGAGAGAAACTCGCAAGGCACTGGCTGCAGCTGACGTGTGGGTACCTCTGCATCCGTCTGCTGTGGGGGCTGGAGAAGGGCATGGAGCAGAAGGAAGGGTACAGGGCCCGGCCTCTCAGAACAGTCCTGTGGGAAAAGACTGGATTCTCATTAAACACAGTCTAGACGGTCTGTGGGGCTCAGCACACCAGGTACGCTTGACTGTTACTGGTGCCATGTTTTAAGTGCTATCTGGAATTCTTTAAAAAATAAATAAGCTTCTCCTTTGTAAACACTCAAATCTCCTTCCTTGTTGGGTTTAATATCCTCCTCCATGCCCAGATTCAGAGATAGAGCCATGGAGAAGGGTGTGTGTGTTCCCAGAGAGGGTATCCTGAAACAGTCTACCCCCAAAGAATGAGGACACAGCAGCACAGGAGGCCCAGATCGGTGCCTAGCTTTCCACTTGACTTGAGGCATGTGCTTTTTTCTCCCTAGGTCTTAGCTCCCACATCTGTATAAGACTAATGCCAGTGTCCCCACACAGGGCCTGGAGGTGCTGACAGCACTTGAGAAACTGCTAAGTGCTAGGCTACTGCTATTCTGCCCTTCCTGCCTGCCAGACTTGGCCTCCCTGCCTCAGAAAACCTAGGCCAGTTTTCTGGAGTTGGCCTATCTCCACTGCCTACCAAAGGCTGCACTCACTCACCTGTACTCTGCTCCCCAGCCTTTGACGAAGCTCATGCGGATGGTGCACATGCGAGTCAGCTGGTAGACGGCCTCAAAGCCCTGGTTGACAGACTGTGCGAGCAGTGCGGCAAACTCCTGGTTGTTGAAGATCTTCAGGTTGCATCCTGCCAACAGCACAGATCATTGGATTGAGCAATCTCTAGACCAACTGAATGGCCTGAGCCTCAAGTGATACTGTGGCTCCACACTCTGGCCACCTGCTCCATGCTCATAATGATACAAGGGATGGGCCTTCTTGGTCCTGCCCTAGAATCTGCCCCTTAGCAGGGAGATGCGCATGTGAGGGAAACAAGGTTGTCCTGCAGGCCTCACTGCCTCCAGCTGCAGGAATTCCAGGAAGTCTGGAAGTGGGCTAGGAGGACACGGGGATGGTCTGGAGAGGCAGCCAAAGTAGGACTCCAGTGGTCAGAGAGGCAGGGCACCTAAGCCTAGCTGCCACTGCCTTGTGGCATGGTGGCTTCCTGAGGACAGGCACTCTTGTACTGGTGCAGAAGCACGGCATGTTGGCACAGGGATGTTCTGCAGAGCACCAGAGGTACTCTCCACCCATAATAGGCCTGTCTTATGCTGGGGCTTAGGGGAGGGAGAGAGCTGGGCCACATGGCCTCTGCATGCAAGCTTGGGCCAAGGGGACACTGACAGCAAAGTGAAGAGGTGCACCTAATTCTCTACAACCAGAGACAGGCACAAATAACGTTTTAACAGAAACATTGTTTGAAATCCTACTGCCCAAGTGCCAGGAGTGTGTAACTCAGGAAATAAAGACCAAAGTCCGTGCCCAGTAGCCAGAGGCCAGTCGAGCCCTTATCTGCTGGGTGACTCAGCTCAGCTTCTCCTTGCAACCCAGTGTCTCTAAAAGAGGGACTGGCCTTGGTCATCATGGTGCTGACAGGGCACCGCCAGAGCCAGCTGAGCCCTCACCAGAAATGGGAGTAGGGCAGGAAGGCAGCAGGCAGAAAGTCAGGAATGCTACCCAGCTTTTACCCCCACCTCTGCTTGCTCCCAGGGCAAGGCCCTGAACTAGCTCTCTCCCCGGGTTTCAGCCCCAGCTGAGCCAATAGTACCAGGCCAGTCAGCCAGCCGGCCACACCATCCTAGTGTGTCCTCTGCTTAGCTCTGGGCCTTTGGCTCATGTTCTCTGAATTTATCTCCCTAGCCTTATTTAGAACCAGGGTCCCAGGAGAGGAAGGATGAGATCAGAGATGTAAATGTGCTTTGTAAATGGCAACCACACAGACTGCCAAGGCTGTTCCTAGCTGAAATGTTCTACATTCTTTGGTTTACCCTGTCCACAGCCCACTACTCCACTGTCATCTGCTAAGCAAGGAAATACATATCACACGTGTCATGGGCACTGGCCTGACCCAGGACACGTGCTCTGCTAGTCTGCTGCATCCTCCATTCCCCAGGCCGCATGTTATATGAGGAGTGGGCTTTGGCTGGCTTTCTGCCTAGACTTTTACATGAAGCCCTAGGTGGAGTACAGTTTGGCAGTTCTTAAAACAAGGTGACTTTAGCAGCCTGCCTCTGAAAACCCTCAACAGCTCCCCAGAATAAAACCAAAACTCTCCCATCCTTCCAAGGCCTAGGCCTGTGACTTGACTTTTGCATGGCTTGTCTAGCCAGGATATCCAGACATATCTCACCCTGCATCTCTTCTGTGCCCTTATAACACTGTCCCCTCTGCCAGATACCCTCACAGACTCCTCCTTGCCACCTCTGGGTGCCTAATCCCTCCTCCAGGAAGCCTGCATCATCCCACAGCTTGATGTCCTTTCTCCCTATGTGAGCTGCTTGTCTGGGGCTTTAGAGCCCTTTGTGTGTCAAACTCATCTGTCTTCATCTTAAACATTCCTCAGGGCTATAAGGCTGTGAGAACTGGGGCAGAGCCCTGCCCACCTCTTTACCCCACTACAGTTACTGGGACAGACCCTGAACACTGCATGTTTGGGAAAGAATGAATGGAGGAAAGGAGCCACTGTACACCTGAGGGTATGGTAGGTGTCCCAGGTTAGAGAAGATCCAGTAGATGTCACATCTGGACTCTGAGGTTCAGGAGAGCCATAGGAAGATAGCTGGGCACAGGGGGCCCAGTCTAGTGTCCATAATGCAAATACCAATGAGGAGGAAAGGCAAGAAAGATGGACTCCCCGGGCATGCCTCGGGGAAATGGTCCCCAGCAGCAGTATGAGGGGCTTACCTGGTGGGATCTTGCAGACAGTGGCAGGGTGCCAGCCATAGCGCTGGTTGCAGTTGGGAGACTGGACAAAAATAGCACTGTCACTGAGGCACTCTGCAAAGACCTCCCCTCCAATGTAGTAGAGCCGTACTCCTCTCCCTGAGGGACCAGGACAGATGAGACAGAGTCAAGGATCTTGGCCCACAGGGCACCCAGGTCATCTGGTAATGGTGAAGGAACAGAGCTGTAGTTGATGCTCTAAGCAAGAAGAGCCAAGAGCTCAGCCCAAAGCCAAGTAGGAGAATTGGGGGCAGCCATGGGTTTCTAAAGCAGGACAGACAGGTGACATAAGAAAAAGGAACTTTCACTGAGTCTTGACAGCCTCTGTTCTGCCCAGCCACAGGCCTGAGTGCTTGTCTAGAGAATTGAGAGGTAATCTACTTCAGCAACTACTGCAACAGTGCCTGGTAACAGCTGCTGCACCCCCCCAAAGGGTACAGAGGTGCCTCAGTGAAGCAGAGGTGCTCCTGGGACTGCAGGCCCTCACCGCAGGGACCCCTCATGGGGTTTCTAACAGTTTGTATGTTATATCATTTACTTTCCCTTCATCTCCTAAATCTACTCCAGATGGACAGAAATTAATTTGCAATTGGCTCCACACTTTGGCGGTTATGTAAACAGCTCTGCTCAGTGGGGATGGCCCATTCTGCTGGGGAGAGGCCCAGGGATCAGCAAAACAGACTCAAAGGCCAAAATCACATGGGTGAAGACCAGGTTTACCCACCTCTACACCACCTGCTGAGGGCACTGCTGCTCCTCCCCTACATTCCCATTTCCTCTTTTTTGGGTCCTATAGCACTTGGTGCTAGGGTCTCAGAGTCCCCAGGAGAGGCAAGGCAGGAGGCAGCAGTAGGAAACTCAGCCCCAAAGAGCACAGGGTGCTGGACCCACAGCCTCCCAGCTTCTATTTTCCAACCTGCTCCCAAGAAGCTGACAAGCATAGAAAAGCTCTGACATGGGGTCAGGTCACCTCAGCAGCACTGCCCAGCTCCTTCTCCACCCAACCCTTGGGCTCCAAGATGATAGCCAAGTATATTCCACTACTTCCTGTCTACAGCCACTTCTAAGTTCCAGTGCTGTGTGGCTCTGGGTCCTGAAGGGTCCAGAGCTCAGCATGATGACTTTGGTGAGCCAAGTGATACACAGCTGTTTTCTTCACAAGTATGTCTTGCTTATGTTCCAGGTATTGGGGTCCAGCTTGCTGATCACTGTGGCATGTACTTAATGGGCAGATCACATCTTTTTACCTCTGAATTGTCTAGATCTTAAATACATATGAAATTAACAAAAGGATACATGGGATAGATCTTTATATTACTCCTTATAACTGCATCTGGAAATATAATTGTCATAGGAGTTTAATTTTCAAAAAATTTTTAAAAACAATCACTCCAAGAATGACTGCCTAATTGTCAACTTATCTGTTCTGTTTGGGTTTTAATACTGGGGACTAATGACAGGGCCTCATGCACACTAGGCAAGCACTCTGTCACGGAGCTACAACCCCTGCCCAAGCAATCTGTTCTAAGAGTGTTTTAAGATTCCATTTTATTTTTAACTACGTACATATGTGTGTAGGTATCTGCATGTGAGTATAGGTGTCCATGGAGGCCAGAGGCATTGGATCCCCCAGAAGCTGGTGCTGCCCAACATGGTTTCTGGAAATTGAACTTATTTCCTCTGAAAGAGCAAGTGCTCTTAACTGCTGAGCCATCTCTCTAGCCCTAAGAGTATTTTTAATAAGAGGAGTTTGTATGTCTCCTTTCCTATGTCCTTCCTTGTCCTCTCCAATGTGTCTGCCTCTGTGATTTTCAGGTTTTCAAAGATGAACTCTGTGTTTGCCTAGGAATAATCAAACAACCTTAACTCTTACCTGTCTGGGCCTAAAGAAGACAATAGACAATTTAGGGGGATACAGGGAGTTTGCTAAGTCCCAGCTGGAAGCAGAGCACAGCTGGGCAGGGCTCTGGAGGCTGCTCTGCTGGGGCGGGGGCAGAGCCGGGGAAACATGGAACCCATGCCCATTACCAATGTGCCTGCGAGTGAGCTCCACTGCTGCGTTCCTGTTGACGTTGGACAGCAGGCCCAGGCAGAAGCGCTCAGAGTTAGAGGGATCAGTAAACCCGTCCACTGTCATGGATGGTTGTGAGGCATGGAATGTCTCCCCGACACGCTGGTTCAACTCGTAGTAGGAGATGGAGCACCAGAAGGCTGGCTCACAGTAGGTGACTGGCTGCAGATCTGTGGAGACGAGGTCTGCTGGGTCAGTACCCCTCCCCACAAAGATACTCTAACCACCTCTGCCCTCCAAATTTTCATTGAATAGACATTGTAGGGTATCAGGGAGTGAGATCTACAGGGCCTGGCCTGGCCTTGCTGTGAACAGAAGCAGCCTTATATTTCTATGTCCTGTGACTTACACAGGTATATGGCTGCCTGGCCTCTATCTTGACCTGCATACCTCCTCGGCATTGTCTTATTAGGGTCCCCCAGCAGGCTGGGTCCTGGCAGCTCCTCATTCATAATGCCCCAGCCTCCTGTAGTCTGCCTGTGTCGAGGGCCACCTCCAGCTACTCCTCTACTCTCTGGCTGTACTGACCCTATGGGAGGAGCTTCAAGCCCATCCTGCCCTGTTCCCTGCCTGCTTGAATAATCAGTCTTCTCAGTCCCACCCTCCACCTCAGACCCTGAAGCCTGGTTCACTCACTCTGGAGTACTGCCTGGCAATTTCCTGAATGGCTCTGTGTGAGCTGGTATCCTTAAATGTCCTGACTAACCCACTTAACTGTGAGATCCTAGAACCCTTCTCTCCTTCTCCCTTGCATGGGGCTCTGATGAGAGTGGGGGATAAGAAAGGTTCAGCACTGGCCTGAGAGCCCTGTCTACTGCATGCCAGGTAGCTTCTTCGAATGGGACATGCTGGGAACCTCTGCTCACCAGTCCTTGAATAAGCCAAGTCCAAGAGAACAGAAGAAGCTCTGCCCGCCCCCACCCCAGGGAAGGTACTGGGTAGCTCCTGCTGACACAGTAACTCTGATCTTGCAGTCCAGGCTCACAGTTCTTGTGAGGGGAGGGAGGGGACAGAGGCTCTCTGACACCCTTCATTGAGTACACACAGACACAGCTGGCTATGAGGTCAGCATACCCTATCCCAAGTTTCTCAGCCCAACACTTTTGACATTTTAGAGCAAGTGACTGTCACTTGGGAGGAAGAGGGTTTAGACATCTTCTAGCATGTTCACAACTGTATCCTCACCTTCACCCACTGGATGCTAATAACATATATCCATCTCATCCTCCCAAATAGTGACAACAAATTGTTTCCAGGCACTTCCAGATGTGTTCCAGGGGTTGGAAGTCTATCCTTTTGATGTAGAATCAGGTCACAGAGCAGTACAGGCCTCCACATTGCCGCCACCTGAGTGTTGAGTGCCCTCTGCCACTGGTACTAAGTGGATGCCTGAGCCAAGCCAGCTCAAGTAAGTTGAGGGCATGCAACAAACGGTATATGGTACCAACATCGATAATAACCTTAACTAAACTTGAGAACACCCTGGGCCTGTCTTGACTTTTCCAGATGTAGAAGGTAAAGCTTCTTCCTTCTCTCCTCAGGGTTGAGCAAGAGGCCTGGAGGATGGAGACGGGATCTATGCTACTGTGCAGAGAACGGGCGTGGTGGGACAGGAGCCACCATGGCCTGTGCACCTCATCACTGGGCTGAGCTATGTCTGCTCCATCCGGGTCCTGGCTTTGCTCCATACTTGACATTCCAATGAGATAAGCTAGATTCTAAACAATGTAGCCACTAGAATGTGAGCTATGCTGCTTTGGACAGGGCTTTAAAAAGAAGGGAGGAAGGAAGGAAGGGAAGAAACAGAAAAAGAAAAATGGAAGAACAAGCAAAGTACTAGTCAAGCTTTCAAAGTGGTCAGGTGACCTGTCAGAGCTGCTGGCTGCCACTGCCCAGGTGCAGGCTCTGCTGACCTTAAGTGTGCCCTTGGGGACATGAACTCCCTCACTGGTCTCAGTTTCCTTGTCTGTGTCATGGTTGGTTCTAAAATAAGTATCTAGGTCACCATGCTTCTAGCATGCCTTGGCCTGAAGAGGCAGCTTTGGCTAATATGGTTTGTGCTGGCTTACTCAGCAATATATATAGCAAAGTCCTCGGTTCCCCCAAATAAAGTCCTGCCAAGAATTTCCTGGGCATAGTTCAGGCACAAGAGTGTTTCGAGGCTCCCAGGCATAATGACATCCCACCAACCCAAACGAAAGCTGGTGTCTCTTACATGGTCTTGGAACCATGCTCAAGGGACATGTGAGTTCAGGTCAGGAGGTCCTCCCAAGCAAATCTGAACCCTCCTCCAAACACCTCTGGGGCCCACAGGGACACTGGGCAGCATGGTGGCCTGGCAACAGCTAGACATATCATTAGGAAGGTGCTGGCTCTGAGGAACAGTGTCATCGGGGCATGGCTGGCAGATGATTGTGGTTTTCAGAAGGTGCTATCTGCATGAGGTGCCCTGGTTCAGAAGCAAGACTGACCAGGGTAGCCCCTGCCATGCCTCTCCATTTTGCTGGTGACGGCCCTGCCTTCCCACTGTCTCCAGACCCAGCTGCTTCCTTCAGACACTGCATCCAGAGGAGGTACAAAGTAGAAAGTAGGAAACTATTTCCAGGTTTTTGCAATGGTAACCCTAATACACGCATTTCTTTTCTACTGAAAGTTGGGACCGGGAAAGGAAAGGGCAATCACTGGTATAATAATATGATAATAGCTACTGAAAACATACCACTTGGCTCCATGCTTCTTAACAGAGCAAAAAGGGGAATATAACTATTATGGTTTAGATTCAAAATGTCCCCCATTAAGCTCATGTATTTGAACACTTGGTCCCGAGCTGGTAATGCTGTTTGGGGGATATTATGACATGGGGCTTCACTGGTAGATCTAGGCCCCTAGAGCCTAGTTACAGCCTGCCCTGGCTGTTGGTTCCACACTCTGCTTCCTGATCTGTCAAGATATGAACGACCTGTGCTGCAAGCTCCCACCAACATGGGCCCAGCCTTAAGGCCTTTCTGTCAAGATGGACTGGTCCCTTTGGAAGTCCCCTTTCTTTACTTGTTTCAGTCAGGTACTTTATCCCAGCAACAGGAAAAGCTAAACCAACGTACTACCCAGACCTGGTGGTACATGTGCAGTGCAGTGCTTACTGGTCCCACCCCAAAGAGGAAGCAAAGCTTGCTCTGAAAGCTCAAATCTCTCATGGGGAGGTGACAACCCCTTCCTAGTATGGACACACCAGGCTCCCAGAGCTTATAGAAAGTGCAGAAGGAATCTTACATATAGCAGTTTTCTGAAAAGGACCTGAAGACCTGCTGATCAAAGGTTCCTCTGAGAGGAAAGACAGCAGGGGATTGGCTAATGTGCCCCAGAAGAGCATGGGTTTGCTCCCCCAGACTAAGGCCTCATCTAATAGACAAGACCTTGCCTTCCCACAGCCCTGCTCCCATCAGACTATTGAGTTCTTTTCCTAGAGCAGAGGTGCTGGAGACACACAACCCCAGCACCAGCCATTGCCAGCCATTGAGGTCCCCTCCCCAACAAGCATGGTGGTGTCAGCCAGGCTTCTAGAGTGGCATGGGGCACTTAATTCTCAGCTGGCCCCTGGCCAGACTAACGCGTTGGCTGGCTTTGGTTCAGAGCTGCGTTCCAAGCTGGCACAGACTTTCTATTTTGTTTAAGGAAAAGAAAACAGAATAAAACCCAGAAGGCAACACTTGGATTAAGGGATGCCTATTAAAAACATGTGCAAAAGATTCCAGTCGGCAAAAAAAAAAAAGGGGGGGGGCCAACAAGGGGAAATACACTTTTTACACTTTGTTTAAGGAAAAGAAAACAGAATAAAACCCAGAAGGCAACACTTGGATTAAGGGATGCCTATTAAAAACATGTGCAAAAGATTCCAGTCGGCAAAAAAAAAAAGGCGGGGAGGCAAGAAGGGGAAATTAACTTTCTCCTAAACTGAAGCCGGGAATGGCAAAGGCCTGGGCAGTGGATGCCACAGGGTTCAAGGTCAAAAGAGAAATGGCCTGGCTGGTCTGGGCCCTCCTGACCTGCACAAGACTCTGCCTCTCTCGGGGAGATCCCACATTCCAGTTCTGCACCCCTTCTGGTGTCATCCATGCCCATGCTGTTTCTTTTCCTGTAGTGTCTTCCATCTGCATGACCCTCACCTGCAAGAACCACCACCTCAATAAGCTCCAGGTCCCTGTTACCTCAGGGCTCTTGCAGGGACCTCAGCTTCCTCAGTCCAGGCACACCCTACATGTGTCACTGAGAAGCAGGGAAAAACTTACTCACTGGCAGGATCCAGCACATTCCAATCTATCTACCTGTGCTTTCTTCCTCTCTGCTTTTCTCAATCCTGACTTAGACACTTAGGAAATTCCAGGTGATCCACCCAGCATGATGTGTCCTAACAGAAACATCCCCTGCTCACAGCCTCTGCCCTGTTTGCAAAGGTTCCAGGGATTCCCCAGAGCTGGCCTCAGGTGACATGCCCAGCTGGGGCCCAGTCATGCCTTTGGGCCCCGTCAAGTCCCCACAGTTTTACTGAGGTGGCTCTACTGTGGCAGGGTGATCAACCTTCCCCAGACCTGGGCTGTAGAGTCCAGGCCAGGAGAGGGGAAGAAATGAAGTAACCAGTGTCCTGCACTTTTTCTAGAAAGCACTTGTGTGTCTGTGTGAAGACTGTACCTGGTCACCAAGCACAAAGGCTGCTGCTGTTCCCTGCTACCACTGCCCCACACCCCCGTGATTGCCCTTCAGCTCACTGCTAGCCTACCCAGTCTCACCTCGCACCACAAACTACTCTGTAGAGTAGTTGCCCTTGAACTCCTGATGTCAGCACCAGGTCTCTTCTCACAGCTCATTTTGCATCTTTGTTGAATCCCCCAATGCAGTTGCAGCAGCCAACCTTTAAGGCCTACCTCCTCTGGCCGCTGTGTCCGTGACCCTGCCCCTCTGCCTGACCTCACCCCCTCGCCCTCATCCTAAGAGTGCCTCTGGCTCTCTTCTGGACCCAGGCCTCTCTCTCCATCCAGTCCGCCAATGACTGCAGCCAAGCCTTCAGCAGTGGTTCATGAGGGGCCTTGCTGGGATGGTCAGTGGGTAAGGGAGAGTAGTGGCCAGCAGTAGTCTGTGGGTGAAAGAGTACAAGATAGACAGGCCTCTTCTCCATGGGTTTCTTGGAGGTGTTGCTGCACTGCCAACAATAGGGCTAGGAGAGGGGCTTCGGACAGCCACCCTGTGTGTTTGGTCACCAAGCCCTTCCCCTTGGACCAACAATGCACAAGAGGCAACGGTTCCAACTCCATGCCTGGGGCCCTCACCTCCCCGACTTTGTTTTCAAGGGACAGTAAACTCTGGAAATTCACCCCTGGCCCATCTCACCTCCATGAGGGGTGGGCAGGGTGGGCCCCACTGATCACAGTCCCATTGAATCCTGTGCCCTCAGTCCCCGAGTCCTCTCCTTAAACTCTTGTCACCTATTTCTCTAACACACCAATCAGGTTAGGTTTCTTTCTTGTTTCCCTCCAGTAACCCCCTCAAATTTATACTCCACAAATTAGCCAGCTGATCTCTACAAAGCTGTCATCAGGATCCCAAAACCTGCTGGCAACCTCAATGGGGTCAGCCTCACCTCTCCCTGCCCTTCCTTGCCATGCCAGCAGGCCACAACGCCAGTTTCCTTGGAACACACCTGCCCTTCCATCTGCAGGGTCTTCTATCATGCTCTAGATCCCACTGTCTACCTGTCCCTCAATTTCCCCCTCAAATGCCTTCCCAGCCTGTTGCTTATGGCTTCCTCCTGAGCATACTCACCCATCCCCGCTCGGTGCCTGCTCCCTCAGCACCACAGTTGGACACAGATGTAGCAGGTGTGAAAGCCTAAGTGTTCTCCCCAGCATAGCCCTAGACCGGGCCATCCATACACACTGCAAACTCAGGGACTCCTGGACACACGTCTCTACTGCTTCCGTTTCCGCTTCCTCCTCATCTGCATGACTTAGGACTTTATTGTTAGTTACAGTTATTATTGAGCCCAGGGAGGCAGGGAGAACATGATAACAGGGCTATCCTCTGCTGGACTGACAGAGGGACTAACAAGACGTAGCTGGCATGTGAACCAAGGAAGAAGATAGGTGAGTAGGCAGAGGCCACAGACTGACATCTGTCCCCACCTGAATGCTAATCATGGGTGAATGTTATGCACTGGGGAGATATGAATTCAGAACCAGGGTCTAGTATCTTTAGCAACTGTGTACCTGAAATGAACCCTCATTCCCCTCCCAGCCGCTGCATTCATCAGGCCTCTGTGAGGTCTCAAGCAGAGACTGAATGGTGAAGGGATGTGGAGGCTCCTCAGACAGAAAGGAAACTGAGCCTGCTGGTGTCAGTGTCTCACCCAGAATCCTGACCTATGTCTGCTGTCTCCAGACTGGCCTGTGACCTCTATGGTTTCAAAGATAAGTACTACCACTGTGGCACGTCTGCTCACTAACTGCTGCCTGCCACGGTAGGGTAAAGTGGCACAGAAATAAATCTAAACCAGCCCACCCAAAAGCTGAAAGCCTAGAGTCAAGTTCACAATGATGGCCTTTAACGCCTCAAGTGTTACCATAGCTTCTAGCCGTCAGTTTGTTTTCAATTAACCCAGTCCTACTGTATCAGGAATGTGACCTTCAGGGAAGCCCTACAATATTGTGCTGCAAAGTTTTGTTTTGTTTTGAGACATGGTCTCACTATGTAGCCCTAGCTGGCCTGGAACTGTCTCTATAGACTAGGGTAGCCTCAATCTCACAGAGACCTGCCTGCCTCTGCCTCCTGAGTGCTGGGATTAAAGGTGTGCACCATCATATCTGACTATGCTACAAGGATTTAATCTGTGTCCAAAATTATATTTTGCTCCTTCTACATGTTGGCATATTTTAAAGGGTCTTCTCCCATCCCCGAATATTTCAAATGATGGTTTTCGTCTGATGCCATCTGCCAAGGTCTTGAAACAAATGGGTTCAACAGCCTGTCCAATCCACAATGGTCTACTGCACTTCACCATGAACAACTGCTTTTCCCACGCCATAAAGCAAGCACCAGGCAAACAAACCCAAACTTGAATTTTCTCACACTACAGACCAAAATAACAAAAGTTCCCCCTGATAAAAAAAAAAACACGGACATCTCATGTGTTTTGAGCCCTTCACCCGTTTCTAGCCTCAAGGACTTTGCAATGACTCCTTCTCCCACACTGGAGGGATGCTGCCAGACTGGCAGAGTGACCCTCAGAACACTGACCCACAGTCCAACAGCTGAGAGTTGTTGTGGGAACAGCAGGGTCAGCTGACCTAAACATCACAAGATAATACAAAGTGATAAAGCAGATCTCCAAATAGAGAAATGTGTTTGCAAAATAACAAAGAGCCAAAGAATGAGAAAGGTGAGCAACGCAACAGTCCTGACGGTGTGGCACAAATGTACGCACAGTCCCCACAAATGCCAGAGAGGCCATGATCATGATAAAACATTTGTGCTGGGCAGTAGGATCATAGGTACATTGCTTTCTCCCCCCCACCCCAATTTTTTATATGTTGCTATTCTAAAAAGTTATTATGAGGTGAAATACTCATTTAAAATCTGCAAGTATGTCTGAAACAAGTCTCTGAAAGCCAGGGCTGAGTCTGCCTGTGGCTTTGCCTCCAGTTGCACACGTGTGCTTGTCTGACTGAGGCCCTGTCTCCTGGGCCTGAGGTCTTAGGGATTTTCGTTCACTCACGTCTGACTGCCGCCCAGGGGAAACACAAACCCAGCCTTTCCTGCCATCATCCCTCTCAGGTTTCCCTGTTCTGGGGTGACCCCAGAATCACTGTAACCAGAAACCCCACGGGCTGAGCTGGGCTGATGGTGACTAAGGGAGCAGGGAGCACTCTTTATGGCCCTCCCCACTTAGACCATCAGCTGGCCTGCAGCGAGGAGGGGGTCTCCACTGTACAGAGGAAGCTACTCACCCAAGTTATTGTGTGCCGGGGACATCGGATTCGGGGATAGGTTTGGAGAACCTGCAAGGTGAGACACAGTTGTAAGACACAGTCGTACTAAACAGTCTACCACAGGATTGCTCACCATGCCCTAAGGAAGCCCTGGATCAAGCTTCAAGTCCCAGGAACAACCTAGCCTCAGCCTCGCCTCAGACACTATCTCCTACACACCTAAGCATGTTTCCTTGTTTGCAAGATGGATGAATGGATGGAGTGGCTCAACTCAGAAGACTCCTCTACCACCGGAGCAGGGTTCCAGCTGGGAGCCTGGGTTGCAGAGGACTCAGCTAGGCCAGCTCACATACCTGCCTAGGGGAAAGCTTGACTATGCCTAGGAAAATGGGAGGATAGACAGACCTCTTCCTTGTTGTGCACAACTGTGGAGGCTGGACTCCCACAATGCCCTGCTCACAGTTCAGTTCTCAGGTACCTGGAAATACCCACCTCAGAAACTCAGAAATCTGCCTCAGAAATATGGAAACTCGACAACTAGATTGCTATTTTGTACAAGGCAGGAGAAAGCCTAATTCTACTGAACTTGTACTCTGATCTTTCTACCTTTCACTTTTAGAGAAAACACACACACACTCACACACACAGAGTGCACCAGTCTTCAAAGCCAGTGGTCACCTTTCCACAGAGCCCTACTGTATCCTCCTTTGTTCCTGTGTTTGAGGTCACAGTTATTTATTTATGAACATCCTGCAGCCCTGGCCCCAGCCCCTGACATCTACCAGATCTCCAGGCTAGGCCCTGCATTTGCCTAGAGCTGTCCCTGGGGTCTTTTATTTCACTCCAGCAGAGCTGTGAATGGCGGACTAGAGATGGGCCATGGGCTTCTCCCCTGTGGCAGCACCTGACCCAGTGCAAACAAGGAATGGCAGCTGGAGGGACACTTTCAGAGGCAGTCGTGAGGATGGGACAGGGTGGTACCTATCAGCCATGGTTTTGGTTATGTAACTTTTTAGTAAAAGTATATTTATTAACACTATTGAGCCTTAATTTTCCTCCCAGTACACAACTGGGACATTATCATCTATTGACCTGTAAAAATTAGGTAAGATGGATACATTAAAAAATGCTAATGCCAAGACTAGTACACAGCACTGCAATAAATGTTTCCTATTTTGTGGTAGCTCAAATCATTAGGGTCTAAGAAGGCTATTGAACCTTCTCATTAGTCTGAAAGGACACATATATTGGCAAGGGTAGACTTGAAGGTGACCTGAGTCACCCTTTGGCCAGAGAAGCCTCCACACCTCACTCAGCAGGGAAGCCAAGACCATAAGCACCTGGATTGGGATCCACATGTGCCACTTTGAGGAAGAACAGAAAACAAAGAGAGACCTTCACCTGCCTATGCCCAAGTTGGCTATGTCCACACACCCTAGCTCCTGAGGAACCTGCAGGGAGAGGGATAGGAGAGAGGACAGGGCCTAATGGGGCAGAAAGGAAATGGAGAAGCAAGCAGATCGGAGCAGGGGAGAACATGGCTGTCCCTTCTTGCATACAGATCTTCTTTGGTTATGTTTGTATCGGTAACTCTACACATAAGAGTGGGGAACCGGAAGCTGGAAGGACACTGCCGAGCTGGCCTCCTTCCCACACCAGCACTTCGTAGCTGCAAGTTTGCAGCAGTCACTTGGCACCAAGTATGGGAAGGTCTTTTGTGCCACACGCCTAGAAGGGTGTGTTTTGGAGGGTGTACTCAACCTAGAAGTGCCATTACACCCCAGTGACTGTGCTTCTAATGCGTACGTGAGCCTCTTTCATTCTTCCAAGGATTGTGCAACCTCCTGTGGGCTGTGCAAAAGGCAGGTGGCTCCATTGTGTCTAGCAGCTCCGTGCACAAGGCATGCCCACTGCAGTAGGACTACAACATCTGCTGGACCCCCCTCCCTTCCTTGCCCACCATGCAAAGCAGAGCTGGCCCTATGTGGCAGCTGGGATTCTGCTCAAGAAGCTGCTGGTTCTGAACTAAGTTGGTCCCATAACATATGTCATGAGAAACATCTGGAAATGGAGCAGGAGGAAAAGTAGGCCGGGTGCTCCTGGCAGGAGCATGTTAATCACATTTGGCCACTATGTAAAAACAGTTGCTTCTGATGTCTTTACTGGCCACCAGAAAAGATTGTCTCTCCATCCAGGTTCCCCTTGCCTCTCACCTGCAATCCTTCAGGTGTTGGAACCCACCTTCCACCCCTGCCAGCACCCCACCTAGATGGCTTAATACTTGAACATCATTGTGATGTACACTACGTTGTGAGGTACACTTCTTCCTACTTTGTGTCCCTAATGCACAGGATATCTTCCACCAGGGATATATGAAGTGCACAGTGGCGACTGTCAGTCCTCCCTCACCCTGTGATCTGTGCACCCAGCACCTGGAATGCAAAGGGTGCTCAGTAGACATTAGGTAGAGAGACAGCAGGAGGTACAGAACTGTAAGCATGCCCATGCTACTGACCTGCGTCCATGCTGTGGTTCATCTGGTGGTCACTGGTTTCTCCATCTTCACTTAGGTAGCCAGGGGGTGGGGTTTCTGGGGATCAGAAGGCAAGTGGTTCCATTATAAGGCATGCAAGTCCTGGCCCCAGGACCAGGACACCATTTGTTGGCCAATATATCATATATTCATGCTGCTACTGAGTACAGGGCACCTAGAAGAAGGCTGGGCCTTGAGGGAGAACACCAGCCCCTAGACTCTGCCATGAGTGAGCCCATCCACCCCTGCCCTCTGGCTCCCCACCTGAATCCTAACGAACTGACCTAACTCTCAAGTCTGAAATGCCTTGTCCTCGAACTACAGCCAGGCTAACTTGTTCCCATCCTTCAAGGTCAGGGTAAGGAGGAAGGCTTCAAGGTACGTGTGCCTCACACATCTCTGTCCCCTGAAGAGCTGGGGGCCTCAAGCCTATTCCTTGGTCTGTCTCCTGTGCACATCAGCTGCTCCTGTCACTGTCTGTTGTCTCTAGGGGCTGAGGGTGAGCTCTCCAACCAGGGTGCCATTTGCTGATGGCTAAGACTGTTTCTCTGAGCCTCCTCCCCCATCCTCCTCACCCTGCCTTAGCTCTCCAAGTCTACCATCTGACAGGGAGTAGACAACTTACCCCCGGAGACCAGTGCTACCTGCAAGGAGCTGAGAAGCTAGACAGCCGGACTCTGCGTGCGTATGCTCTGACCCAAGACACTGGTCACAGCCAACCTCAGTCCAGTAAACCAACCCAGAGAGTGAAAGCCACGTCCAAATTAGAACACTCTAAAAGGAACACAGCTGGATCTCTGCCCTGCAAGCAGAAGTTGCCCTGACTGGCCCTAGCATGGCCAAGCACAGCTCCCCAGGATGCCCAACATGCCTGGTGGTGATTCACACATTATTTGCATATAAATGAGGGGCTTCTAGAATCACTAGCACTCCTATGGAGCCTATTCCATTTACTCCCTCTACTCCCACTCTCCCTGAGTGCTTACAGCACTCATGGAACCCACAGCTGCCTCACCCACTGCTCTGTAGCCCCCGACCCTTAAGAGATTCAGTCTGCATGCCAGCACTGCAGGCTGCAAGGGCAAGAAGAGAAACACAGTGTTGCTGTTTCTGCTTCCAAAATAAATGATGGCACTGAAGACCGGCAGAAGGTCACAGGAGCTTCACGCCAACAAAAACATCGTTAGTGAGCGGCAGCTAAGGCCATGGGTCCTTCCCAGCAGAGATATGGTTCAGAATCGGCCCCTGGGGCTAGCCGAGTGCACAGAGTGGAGAGGATGGAGATGGGGTACCACCCCTGCCTCCTGGCCACCTGTGCTGCAACCCATGCCTACCTGGAATATTGCTCTGGGGCTCAATACCAGCAGGGAAGTTAGTGTTCTCAGGGATGGAATGGCTGTAGTCATCCAGTGGGGGGAACTCAGCTGGGATCTCGGTGTGGCGTGGCACCAACACTGGAGGTAGAACTGTCCAGGGGAGACATGGCACAGGTGGCTTAGTGCCAGGGCTAACCTGACACCAAAGTCCCAGCCCCCAAGTTCACCTTAGACTCTCCAAGGATGGAAAGGGAGGATGGGAGGGCCTAGCCATGTACACATACCTGGCGTCTCTACTCTCTGATAGTGATAAGGATTCACGCACACTTCATCCTTCTTCATGTTGAAGGCGAACTCACACAGCTCCATGGCCCGGAGCTCATGGTGACTGTGCAGGTCGGGCCATCTCCACAGGCGGCAGTAAATGACATGGGGAAGCCCCTTCCGATGGGACACCTGCAGCCGGCCATCCAGTGACCTGCAGTGATAAGAAGGGGCAGATGGTATCAGTGAAACAGATTTGGCTCACTGTCTCCCAAGTCCAGCCTCCCATAGCTCCCAGCCAGTTCAAGTTCACTAGCAAACACTCAAGTTCATCCATCCCCCAGATACAGAGGCCCAGGAGATCAGAGCATCATGGCTAACTGTTCACGCTAGACAGGCTCCTAAAAGAAGCAAGCAGGCCCACCAAGGAAGGCCAAGGCTGTCAGAGAAGCCCACAGGCCCCAGGCCTTGCATTCATCAGGCTCTAGGCTGAGAGTTCTCAGGGCAGCAGTGCTCACAGAAAGGGGACAAGCTTGATTGTGTTCCAAATAGGTGCATATGCCACCAGTCTAATCCCTCAGGTAGAGGTGAGCAGAGGACCAGGTAAGAGCTAGGTACAAGACAATTCTGGGTGCAGGCAGAGGTAACTGGCAGAGTGCACCTAGCGGCAGTAAAGACCTCTGAGGTGTTTACATGGGGTCTGCACATGCACATGTGTAAAAGGGACAGACCCTGTGATAGCTCTGGCTGCATGTCCAGGTAGGGAGGTGGTAGGGTGGGGAGTATACATAGAAAAGAGGGATGTTTACAAAATAAGAGGCATCCTAATAGGTAGGACTGCCCTTTCCACAAGAAGGCGTGTCCTAGGAGTCCCTGGGTCAGGGGCACAATGCTTCTAGCAGCTGGGTGGGGCTGGCAGAGAGCCATTTTTAAGCTTTCTGTGTGTCCCTAGGATACCCATGGGTCTGAATTCAACAGAATTTACAGGGTACTTAATAAGGGAGGGGCTGATCAGATGTGCCAACCAGAGCAAAACAGAATTCAATCAATCTCCAAGCCACTGACCTGGGAACAGGGAGGGACAAAGGTCAGTGCTGGGCTAGGTCACAGGGACCAACTGAGAGCTGCTGACTAAGGATATATGGAAGGATGTAATTACCTCCCTCCCATGGGGCCTAGACCAAGGAGCCCCTACAGCTAAAAACAGTAATTACCAAGCTGAACAAGAGAGGACAGCCTGGGACTCATTGCCCAGAAGGAAGCCTGCCAGATATGCAGTCATAAGACCACGGGTCAAGTTATGGCTCACAGTCCTGACTGTGCAATGCTGGGTAAGGCATGAGGTCACCAGGACCCTCAGTTGCCTCACCTGTAAGATGGGGACATTCTCCCACTTGCCTGGTCTTTACTGGAAAATGCTTTGCAAAGCACTGACCAGTAAGCATTCCTTTCTATGCCACTGGTCACCATAGTCGTTCTCCAAGTCAGCCCTGGGCAAGGCAGCTGAGCCATGGGACTGAACAAGAGAGAAAGGGGGAGGTGAGGGAAATGGTGAGTAGGGACAAAATAATTCAGCTCTCCTCACTTTCTTGCAAAGCCACTGAATGCTCACAGACAGGGAAGTGGTCACACTGGCTCTTCAGGATGTGACAGAAGTCCCAACACAGGGCTAGTTGGATGCTGTGGCCACCTCTCTGATGGGGAATTAAGAGAGGAGAGCTGTCGAAGAAAGGCCCAGGCCAGCAGTGAGGAAAAATGGGGCTGTGGAGGCCCACCTGAGTGGTGGAAGGTGTGGTTTCTTGCTTTAAAAGTAATAAGGAATGGGGAGATAACTTAGTTGGTAAAGTACTTGCCTTGCAAGCACAAACTCATGAGTTCACTCCCTAGAATCCATGTTAAAAACAACAACAACAACAACAACAACAACAACAAAACCACTGGGTATGGTGGCACACTTACTAATTCCAGCATTGAGAAGGTAGAGACAGGCAGATCCCTAGAGCTTGTTGGCCACCCAGCCTAGCTTAGTTGGTGAGACCCAGGCCAATAAGAACTTGTCTCAAAAAAGCCAAGGAACAGTAGCCCAAGTTATCTTCTGGACTCCACACACATGCAAGCACATGCATATGTACCACACAAATGTACACATAAACTATACACAAATTAGTCTAATAATATTTTAAAGTAAGTGCACTGTGGTCATCAAAGCAATGAACCAAAGTCCTCAAATTGACAAGCACACCAATGGGACCCAACAACAGTCATGAACAGTCACGGAGGACAGGCCTCTAACAAAGGTCCAACGACATTTAGCTCACTGAGAAAGGATGGTCTTTCAACACATGGTGCTGAACAACTGGATATCCACAGCAAGAAAAATGAACTTCAGTCTCTACCTCATACCTATACTGGCTGAATAGATCAGAGTGCAAAGCTTAAAACTATAAATCTTCAAGGAGAAAACCCCAGAGATCTTCATGACCTGACAAAGACATCTCAAATGCTGTACCAAAAGCCAAAAGTCAAAGCCAAA